TGCATAACTTTTATTATTATAAAGCGCCTTGGCCAATCACTCTTTTATATTTTAACTAGCATTATCAAAAAAAATTACAGTTTGAGAAACATAGTTTGATTTGTATCCAAGGCGCTCTTAGCTCTCCCCATTTATTTCCATATAGTACCCCCACATTCCTAATTAGACATTTAGCGAAACTAGTAATCTGGCAACTTCTAAACAACAGTAACAGAGGAGAAGGCAAAGTAAACAAAAAAACTAAAAAGGAAATATAGGGAAGGTTGCTGCACTTTCTAAATGGAATTATAGAATAATCTCGAAAAGAGAAAACAAATAAATGAACAAAAACAAAAGTTATTAACAAATTGCTTCTATATTGTATTATATATTTAGATTTCTTATAAAATTGCAAAATCATACTTACAACAAAAACTCCATTGTGTTGCTGTGTTTTAAACAAATCTCGATAAAGCAATCCAAGAGGAAAAGGTGAAAAAACTTAGAAGTTTTCTGTTTTTTTTTTCTCTTACAGAATATTGGCAAATTTTGGTAGATGAAAGAATATGTCTGTATAAATGAATAACTGACTGTTTGTCGGACTGACTATAAGGCAAAGACCAAACAATAAAAACAGAGCAACACTATATGTAGACCTCCAAGTAGTTGTGGTAGTGGTGAAGACGACGATGATCAAGATGTTGTAGAGTAGACGGTAAAATTTTTATTTTTAGCTGATGTGACGAATTTATTAATTTGAATGTGTGTTTTTCTTTTTCAAAGCGAAATAATAAATTTTCCTCTAAATATCTGTGTAAAACTCTATGTAATATATGATTTCAAGCTCTTCTTTAAGAATAGTTCATTAAGTTTTTTTGTTTTTATTAAAAAAAGAAAAATTCATGAGAATTCAAACCAAAAAATATATTTTGTCTAGCACTTCCACCTTGGTGATGAAAAACTACTTATTTTTTCTTTCTTTGTTGTCTTCTACTTCAAAGTTTTTTCCTTGCTTTTATTGTTTCTCAATTTTATTGATTTGACGTTTATTTAGTAATTTATCATTGCACCTTGATTATATTCGATTCGCAATTTCCCCGCAAAAATTTCCCATTTTTTACAGAACAACACATGTTCAGTCATATGATGGTGTTTGTGTGGTGCTGTAAAGTAGTGTACTGTATAAATAAAATGTTGATGAATTAAAATTAAACGTGTTTACACTGTTAAAATAGTGGATTTTATAAATTTCTTAAAAGGTTTTAGACATTTTAAAAATTCGTTTTTGGTATATTATTAAGAATATATATACACATTTAGAAAATATAAAACAAATGGATTTTGTTAGTTTTGCTTAGTTCACCTCAACATATATATTGGTAGATTTTGTACAAAAGGTAAATTAAGTTACTCAATAGAGATTTATTTCTAAAACATATTTTTAAAAATTCATACCATTATGTGCCGTAGTTTCTGAGTTTTTCGATTACGAACAAACATTACTTTTATTTATATAGATGTTTGTTTCGATTTAAGTTTACAATTTAGTTTCAAAATATATTTTCGTACAAAATTGTTCATTTTCGGGAATAATAAAATATGTTTCATTTTGTATATTAATTCCCGAAGAATAACATTTTACGTGTATTTTTTACAGTGTATTATAAATTTGACAGGTACTGTATAAACTAAATTGAACATTTGACACATGAAAACAACGAGGTTTGTGTCAAACACACATTGAATATTTCTTTTTAAACGCGCACGTGGAAAAAAATTGTGGCTGATAAGTGAAGTGTAAAAGAAAAAAAATATTTTTCAATAAAAAATTAGACGTATTTTATTAAAAAAATATGGTAAGTAAAGAAAACTTCATAAAAAACAGTATAAACATGAAGAATTTAAAAAATAAACAAAAAATTTGTAAACAAAATTTAACCTATAAATATGGAGCTCCACCATTTATCATGGAGTTACCTTTTCACTACAAATCAGTCCCAGCTTATGAATATTTCGTTGTCTCAATTACAGTCTCAACTATACGTTTTGTACGAACATGCGGCTGGGTTCGCTTTGTTCTCCGTCAAGGAATTCGAAGAGGTCTCCATGTTCTTGCCACAAGTGGAGTCTTCGGTGACAGATTTGGCTAAATTCAATTCTCTTGTGAAATTGGCTGGTTTTTCGCCATTCAAGACAGCCATTTCTGCTTTAGAAAATATCAATGCTATTTCCGAAGGTATTGTACCTCAAGATTTGATGGTATTTTTGGATGATTTCTTCGCGAAACTGAAGAAAAAGAAGTGCCTGTTGGGCATTGCTGATGCTAAGTTGGGTGCGGCCATTACTGAAGCTATCGGCGTACAGTGCAGTCAAACTGGTGTTGTACCTGAAATTATTCGTGGTGTTCGTTTCCATTTTCATAAATTAGTTAAAGGTAAGTTGAGTTGTTAGTAAAAATAAAAAACTAAATTGGTTTTCAATAAAGTATTTTAAGTGTGATTTTTAATATACAAAAAAAATTGTATTTAATATGATCAAACTATTTTTTAAATTTTTGTTATTTGCAAAGAAAACCAAACCCTATAAATTACCTTTCTGCATAGATGTCTTAAATATAAATTTTATTTCTTATAACCTTAAGGTTTCACCGACAAATCCGCTGGTATTGCACAATTAGGTTTGGGTCACAGTTACTCTCGTGCCAAGGTCAAGTTCAATGTTCATCGTTCTGATAACATGATCATTCAGTCCATTGCACTTTTGGATCAATTGGACAAAGATGTTAACACATTCTCTATGCGTATCAGAGAATGGTATTCTTACCATTTCCCAGAGTTGGTCAAAATTGTTCCAGACAACTATATGTTTGCTAAATCCGCTAAATTTATTAAGGACCGTAAAACTTTGACACAAGATAAACTCGAAGAATTGGAAGAAATTGTTATGGATTCAGCCAAGGCTCAAGCTATTATTGATGCTGCCAAAATGTCAATGGGTATGGATATTTCAATTGTTGATCTTATGAACATTGAAATGTTTGCTGAGCGTGTGGTAAAACTCTCCGAATACCGTAAGAAGTTGGCCACTTATCTTCACAATAAAATGGAATGTGTGGCTCCTAATTTACAGTCATTGATTGGTGATCAAGTTGGTGCTCGTTTGATTTCCCATGCTGGCAGTTTAACAAATTTGGCCAAATATCCAGCTTCCACTGTACAAATTTTGGGTGCTGAAAAAGCTCTCTTCCGTGCCCTTAAAACTCGTTCCAATACTCCCAAATATGGTCTTCTCTACCATTCCTCGTTCATTGGTCGTGCTGGTTTGAAAAATAAGGGTCGCATCTCACGTTTCTTGGCCAACAAGTGTTCGATTGCTTCACGTATTGATTGCTTCTTGGAACAGCCTACTGCCGTATTTGGTGAAACTCTTAAACAACAAGTCGAAGAACGTTTGAAGTTCTACGAATCGGGTGAAGTTCCTCGTAAAAACATTGAAGTGATGAAAGAGGCCATTGAAATTGCCTCGAAAGAACAACCTAAAGAAGCCCAATCTGCTAAAAAGAAGAAGGATAAGAAAAATAAGAAACGCAAGCATGAAGAAGCTAATGGCAATGGCACAGCAGTCCAAGCAGAAGATACCAACTCGGAGGAAGTTGCACCACCTGCTGCGGCAGAAGAAAACGGAGCTGATGGTGAATCCAAGAAGAAGAAGAAAAAGAAGAAGAACAAGAACAAAGATAATGAATAATTGTTTTGCTCTTTAATCAATGCAATCAAATTTTCTTCTTTTTATTAATTTTTACTTAGATTTAAGTTTAACCTACCCTAGCCCCCTCCCATATAAAACCACAAACATTTTATTACTGAATTACAACTACTTTCTATAAAAAATATACTGTAGATATTGGCTTTATAATTTTTCATATTGCTAAGCATTTACATGTTAGATTTTAGAATAAACATTAAAATATTACATAATAAAAAATTACAAAAACACAATTTTGTATTAATTGGTATTCATTTTATCTTTTTCGAGTAGGAAAATACCTTTTGTCTCACTTTGGTGTAAAGTTGAGCAATTGAAGTTATGATATTAAGTTTATATTAATGGGTCGTCTTTTTCTTAAGGAAATGTTGAACTAGTAGTGAACGTTTGTTATTACTTTAAGAAATTTTGAACCAGCGGTATACATATCCACTTTTTAGGAAATTTTAGGCTAGAAATATATTTACTTTTATGAAAATTATTAGCGATATCGATTTTTTAACGGGAAATTGGAACAAATGATAGATTTCTATATACATACATACTTACATTATAATAAAACTACAAATGTTTTATATTTCAATACTAATTTGTAAAGATAAATTTATTAAATATTGCACATACTTCAACTTGTGCGAACATAAAATTAATAAAACATTTAAACACAAATGGATTAAATTTTTAATAGTATTTTTTACAAAAATAATTATTCATAAAATAATTACAATTTAAAATAATGATTTTATGTAATATCAACTTAAATATTTAGTAAGAGCCAAACACCACTAAATGTTAAAAATTAAAAAAAAATATATATATTAAAAATCTTTGAATAACTAGTGATTCAACTCAGCATATCACCGAGTAATTGAATATTTTGCGGATATCTTGTAATAACCGCTTAACAGTCTCTTTGCCGTATAATTTATTGGAAAATGATGGATAATTATATAGAAAAGAAGACTCCTCATCAAACAGGACACGATTTTGAGATACAATTTTATTGGAACTGGGTACTATAATATTAGACTCTGCTACTTAATTTTAAACCGAACAAAAGTTATCGATGAGCTTTTTTCGATCGAAAATAAGGTATTCAAACTAAATGCTTTACAAATTTGTGTATTCAGCATTACGCTCGTAGCTAAAAAAAAATATTAAAGATGCCAAATACAAACAATTATCTAGTACAAATTTCTGTTTGAATAGTTTTTAGTATAATAGGTTGATATATCATTTATTTAAACATATATAAATCTATTCATTAATTTCGATTTTATTAGTGAAACTTACATATTTTCATTAAACCTGCCCACAAGTAAAAGTGAGTCTTTTAAATTAAACCATAGTATTTTAAAACACATTTACAACCTTGATTTATACACATACATAACTACAATTACATATTATTTTAAATTACTAATTAATTACAAATGACTACGTAGTAATATTGTTTTAATTGTTATTTTTTATTATTTGTAAATATGTATATTGTAATATTAATTTAATTATATGATAATATTTTCAAAAATTACCATTAATAAAATATGCATTATATGTTACATTATTAAAATAAATCAGGGACTTCATCAAATTCGAATCACTTAACTGACAATTTAATTTATTTTAATTATTTCGATCTTTACATTTTTTCTTTGTCTATGACATGATTTCATTTTAATGTTTATTTTATCTTTTAAGAATAATTCATGATAAATTCAAATATGTTTATCGGTTTAAAAACTCTTAGTATACTCGTACATTAGGGAAATGTATAGAAATTATATTTGATAATTTATAGTAGTATAATTTTATACAATTAGGAAAATAAAAACAAATTTAATTTAATAAAATAACAACAAAGGCTTCTTCTAAATATGTTGAATTTAAAATTTAATTAGAAATAATTAGCGAGCACCGTGTCACAGTTATAACACCATGTTGCTTGCCTGTATAAGACTGTCGGCCTTTATTGATCGGATTTTTACCTAAGCAAAATGTACGTAGATCTGTCGGGTTTTCAGTAACTATTGTAGTATTTATCATGATGGAAGGAAGATACCGAGTTTAACTTACACCTCAATTGTTACAGACACATCTATTAACACTACTTAGTCCGAATTACAAATTTACTGTTGATTAAAAGCTCTAAATAAATCTTATTTACAAAAATGTTTTTAATTTGTTTAACAAAATTTTTAAAATTAAAATTCATGAATAATTTTCCAAAATAAACTCATTCCTATGTCTTCATTCATAATTTTTATTTATCAAATCTTGAACTACGATATCGTACGATATCATGCATCTTGGATAAGAATACAAATTCTAAGTAATGTTTCATTTAGTCTATTAATTAGACGTTGTTGTCGACGACAAATAAGTAGTATTATTAATCGTATCCAATTTTAATCGGCTTCAAAAAACCTTTGTTTAAATGTAATTCCTGGAATATTTCCATTATGTTAACGATAAAAAAAAAACATATTTTTAGTTATTTTTCCTATTCTAAAACTCGATTGTTTTTAAGCATTTAGTTACACAACGACCGTTAGCGTATTACTGCTATTCGGCCTTTCCATTTCATTTCACCAACGATTGAAAAGAGGCATTCCACCAAAAAAAAAAAAGAATGGAAAAAAAGGAAGAAACAAATCCATTTCATTTAAATGTTTTACGATTGTTGTGTTTACTGCATTACAATCGTAGCTACGTTTTGTATGTTTTAGCGACGTAGTGTCAAATCGATTCGAATTGAATTGCAGAATATAAGAGTTTATACAAGACTGGCATTGTTCCAAAAAATTCGTTTCGAGATAAATGGCTTTAAATGTTTAGTCACCCCTATTCTGCATTTCAATTCGAATCGAAATTTTTTCCGTTTGCCAACATTGGTATTCTGCAATTCGATTCGAAGCTTCTTCACTAAAATAACAACTTACAAAATACACACAATCGTTAAACATTGAAATAAAATGGAATTGCTTCTTCTTTTTCTTACGATTTCATTTTTTGTTAGAATACCTATTTTCGATCGTAGCGTAACTGAATGCTGAAACGAAATCGAAATGCAGTATAAGGGTGAATAACTTTTTTTTTAAATAACTTTTAAATAAATCACAGCATTGAAAAATTAAACCAGCTTCAGATAGTAGACGTTAAAATATTTCTCATCTAAATTGACATTTATATAAAAAAACATTTGTAGGACACATGTTTTATAGACCTAAATATATTGAAATCGGTTCGATTCGCGAACGACAAGACTATTTTGGAAATCATCATAAAACAAAGGAAGGTAAATATTGAGACACACAATTTCCATACAAAGTGAGGCGATATAATGTACTTATTAGTCGTATTTTTGTCCAGCGTAAAGTAATAATTCATATATAGGTATCAAATTCCTTTCGTTCTTATGTCAGTTAAAATGCATATCTTAATAACTGAAATTCCGATCATTTAATGACAAAAATATTTTTCTAAAATTCCACTGAATGAAAGTAAATTTTATATAAAGATGACCTCTAAAAAACATATCTAAGATTTACTCAACTGAAAATTACTAGAAAAATCAAAATTTCTATTAAAAATATTAGTTTAAAAAGCGAATCTAAAACGAATAAAAAAACCAACAATTTCACTTTATATTAAATTGTTTAAAAAATCATTTTTTTTTTGTATATTAATACTAATATAATAATAATAATTCATTCATAATATGTATTATTTATATATATATTATATTTTTGTAATTGTAAATTATATATTTGCTAAATAAATTGATTGGGAACATAGTAAAGATTGCAAAATAAAGAGGAATTTTAAAGTTAAATTTATATTATAAAAAAATACATGGAAAAAACAATAATAACTATAATATATATTTTTTTTGCATTTGCAATTTAAATTAATAAAAAAAAACAAGTTATTAATACGGAAAAAAATGAAAAGAAAAAGTTTAAGCCACTAGATATCATTGAAACAAATCAAAGGATTGCAAATTATTGTTGTTATTATTGTTATTGTTAACAAATCCCTTTTGTGGTTGCATCATGTTACTCATTTGATTAAAATTAGCAAATTGTGATTGTTGTTGTGGTTGTGATGGAATGTTTGGTGATGTTGTATTGAAAAATGTGGGGGCGCCACCACCAACTAAAGCAGCACTACCCAAACCGGGAGAAATGCGTGGAGTAGTCGTTTGGGCACCAAATGCAGCAAAATTGCCCATAACAGGCGTTTGTATAGACAGTGGCACTTGTTGGATATTTGTGATTTGTTGTGTTGTTACATTGGGACTTTGCACTTTTAGCGCATTCATGGAGGGTGCCGGTGCATTCGTTTTATTTGTCTTGCCAGATAATAAATTATCTAGGTCAAGTTTCAAATTGCCCGCTTTTAAATTATCAGCCCAGGTAGCACCGACTTGTGTAGACGCACTATTATTGTTAGTTGATGTAGTTCCATCGGCGTTGTTTAATGATGATTGTTGTGTATTATTATTAGCACTGACGGGTTGTAAAAGAGTATTACCTGTTGAGGCAATTGGTGGAAGTATATTGTCTAAAAATAGTATATAAAAGAAATCATACAAAATAGTGTAAATTAAAAAATAACATTTAAGAAAAGTTTAAAGAAAGTGGTAGTTTTTAGGAAAAATAAAATTTATACTTTTGCATAACAATAATAATATGTAATACATACATACAAATTTAGGCAGTATGAAGTGAATTTGCAAAGATAGTTTAATAGGCTCTATTTAATACATACATTCATATAGCAAAATATGATACTAAAGCTTAAAACAGTAGTGTCTTTTTTATCTTATAAGTGCTGGCTGAGCTGAAGCAGTAAAAAAAAGGAAAAATTAATGTTTTTTTTTTGTTTTCTTAATTAAGGAAAGACTCTTCTAAAACTAATTACAGTGATATTTTAGAATGTGCTGTTTGTTTGAGTATTTCCTTTGTTTGAAATCAAAATTACGTGCACTGTTTGTTTGAAGCAGTTATTATGTTCAAGTTTACCTAATGGGTCCGCGGTGGTACTATTCCCGGTATGTTGAGAAATGCTTTTATTGTTTGTTTGTTTGTATTTGGTATAAGCAAAAATAAATTAATTAAAAAATAAATCAATAAATATTTAAAATTGTTTCAATAAATAAAAAAGTGCATTTAAAAAGTATTAAAAATTTTGTTTTTGAAATTTACATTATGTTGAGAAAGATCTAAACACTATTGTTAGAAACATTATCTTCGTATTAAAATATAAAACTGTAGATGTTTTCTGTTTTAATTACGCATTTAGGCCTTCCTTAATGATAACTATAAGTTTTGTTTAATTAACAAATAGTTTTCGAAGAACAAATCTTTTATTCAAATAACACAATCTATGGAAAATCAGAATAAAACGGTTTATAAATAACGGAGATATTTCTCGATGGAAAACTGTTTAACTTTTGAAAAAATTTAGTACTTTAGTTTTTATTTAAGAACACCTTCTATATAAAAAAAATAATAACACACGTTGCAATATATTTTATCAACTACATATAAATTGAAATTTTATTTCATAAATTTTTAAAATTAAAAAAAAAAATTCAAGAATTCAAGCCACAATTTAAAAAAGCACTTTATTCTTCCATATCGTTGGGATTCATTATCTTATAACAAGTGTTTAGAATTTGTGCAGCTAAATCACGACATTCCTCTGATGATTCTCCACCAACTAAAGGTGATTTAATAATGTCTTCCAGCCAATATCTCAACTCTAAGAGACGATCATTAAACTGTTCAATCAGCACATAATCCGGTGTGGTGACTAAGGTAATACCCAATAGTTCTAGGCAAGATAAACGTACACGTGGCTCGGCACTAAAACGTATAAACAAGCACAAATCGAAAATTTCTCTTGCCATCGTTGGAAGTATGGGACAATTTTGTGCTCCCATTACAATAATGGATAGAGTGTGTAGAAAATTAACTAATAGCATTGTATCGATATCATGAGCTATGCGATCATATTTAACATACAGCATTTGTTTAGTTCGTTCTCCTCTAACTAGGGGAAAGAAAAACGTACCCACTACTGGATGAAAACGATTTGTTTTCGAACTGTAGGCGGTTTTATTTTTGTTGAAATATCTCTTAGTTTTATCACGCAATCTTAAGCGTATAGTTTTTTGGGCTTCGGCCAAACGTTTCCGTTGTTCATTATCAAATTGAAATTTACGCAAATGTATGGAAGGGTTATTAACTGCAACAGTTTCTTCCTTTGGGGTTTCCATTTCGAAAGATTCTGTTAATTCCTTAACGGTTCCCGCTAAAATTTGTAACATTAAGATGCGTAAATTGGCATTGTAACAGGAATTATCAGTATGAAATTGTCGACATATATATTCGGCACATTCTGCCGGATGTGTAGCACAGATGGCGATACAACACTTAAATTTGGTTTCTTCAAAGTTTTCATAGTAGAACTGCATATCCAAAGTTAGAAAGAGTTGCATTAAATCTACTGCCAAACGAGCATCAGATTTAGGCAATTGAGAACGTATTAGGTTTTCTGCTGTTGATAGTGCAGCTTCAAAATGTTCATAATTTTCACATTTCGTGGAGAGGGTGGCCAACAAGTCCAATAAAAATTTGGGACTTTTATCCAAAATTTGCGGAGTATCATTAGACATATTGTAGGGCTGTAAATCATCGTCGTCATCAGAATCTAAATCCATTTTGGGTGACTTTGTGGGAGGCGGGCTTAATTCGAAATTTTCAATTTCGTTGGCTTTATCAACATTTATGGTCTGTGGAGACTTTTTAGAGTTTGTAATTAAAGCTTCAGTGGTTTCGTGTTTCATAAAAGCTTCCAATAATAATTCTAAATGCTTAGGATCCTTACTTTCTGGCATGTTCTTGTTTGTTTGTAAGCTTTTTGCTAAATCATCAATTTGTTTAATGGTTATTCCTTTAGGAGTTTCTAAAATGCTGCTATAATCAAATTTCAAGTGTTCTTCCTCTTGAGCATTGGGTCCCGTTATAAAATTAAATATTAATTCTACCGCTTTCATGCCAATATGACGTTGCAAAGTATCAGAGCATTCTAAATGATGACGTAGACCTTCGTGTAATAAACGCTTTAAATCTTGATCCTCTTGGTTTTTATTTTTAGCATCTAAATAGTAATATTTTCCAGTTATAATTAAAAGTTTAGAGAGGTTTAAGTGCTCGCTTTGTGACAATTTTTGTAAACATATACGTTTAGCCCAAATATTAAGCAGGTTCTCGAAAAGTTGCCTTAACAAGGCAGCATCTACTGAGGCAACATAGCTCACTAAGGCAATTAATGCTGACTCTTGGCCAGGTATTCTCTGCATGGCTAATTTGTGTAGAAAACAAAATTGCCAGAGGTTATTGTTTTTAACACAATCGCCCAAAAGTTTGTAAACATCTAAAGAGCCCTTAATCATGCATAAAGCCAAACGGTAAATCGAGGTATTACTATCATCCATTAAATAGAATATTTGTTGTATGAGTTTTCGTGGTTTGGTGTAATGGCAAAATTCTTGCATAATTTCTAAAAATTTTAAAAGATCCGAATCGTTTTCTGTATTACTGCAAAAGTCTACAACTAAACGACTTAATAGTTCTGAGAGAAATTTCAAATCAAAATTTTCTTTATCATGGTCATCAATGTGAACCAAAAACCATATGGCTTTGAGCAAATGTTGCATTATATTTTTGCAATAATTATCGGACTTAAAGGCATCGTTGACATTACCCATAACAGCATTAGCTAAGCGTGTGGGTAAGGACATTAGCAATTGTATAAACTCCTTGACTTTTATGTTAAATTGTTCCAACTGGGGTTCGGGTAAAGCGTTTAGAGTAGCTTTAAATTTATGCAATAAACAAGCCTTTTCCTTGCATATTTGCAAAAGGGTTATAGATAAGAAATTATCATCTTCCAAAAGAAATTCAAAAATAGCCATAATGCTTTGAGGAAATTGAGGTAATTTGTGTATTAAACACGACCATGATTCCATAATAAAATCAAAGTTGTAATCCATTTTGAAGATATTGAAAATAATCTTCTCCTCCCCATTCAACTCTTTTCCTGGCCAATCTGTGTTTAATATTTGACCAATAGCTTGTAATAGATCTGCATATTCATGTGTAGCTATCAAATGCCATGGTAGTTGATCTTTATCCAAATTACATATCTTTTCGGCTGTAGTAAAACCTGGCAGACAATCTTTAATCCATAGTTGTTGCAAAATTGCCTTAACCTTCAGCACATCCTGGGCGGATTTTATGGATTTTATTGCGTTTAATTGTTGTATGACATTTTGTAATTCATGCCTTAGCTTATCGGGAAATTTGTCACCATTGTTACCATCATCATCGGCTGAAAGTGAAAAATTGAAGGATTCCAATTGGCATTTGTTTCCATTAAATTATTGTCTTTTTTGTAATTATTGTAAAACCAGTTTAATGTTTTACAAAATCTACATAAATACTTGAATTTTATTCATTGTTTTACTCTCAAACTCTACTAATTATTATGTATATTGGAAACGTTTCTTATATTTAGTTTACATGCACTCTCTAGAATTTTCTTTCACGCTACATACAATTTAGAAATTTTGATCTTTTTGTAAATATATCACAATTTCCCACATTTTCATTATAAAACCTAGTAGAATTTTTTGGTTTATAAGTTTTGGTATCTTTAAACAAATATTATGTATATTACATTTTTTTTTGTACAAAACTGTTTAATAACAATAACAAAAGCATTGCATTCTTGTTATTTTTAACAAATAACTAAAAAAGAAGGCTTAAACTACTAAAAAAATATATTAACAAATGTATGATAAAATTTAATTGATGAAACTTACCCATTGGCATACTTTGATGTATCGATAGATCTCCTAGACCAGCCAGAAGATCTGTAGCTGTGGTAGCACCCAGAGTTGTTGTAGTATTTGTGGAATGAACAGCAGCCGGAGAGGAATTAAACAAATCAAATGCGTCATTGGCTGGTGTAGCTGTAGTCAACAAATTACCTTCCAAACCTCCCATACTGGATGTTAAAGCTGCACTATTGCTTGTACTGGAACTACCTTGGAATGCAGAAAAATCAGCGAAATCATCGTTTGTAGATGCAGCGATGCCTGTTAGACTAGCCGAGGGAGGCTCAGCTGAGACACCACCGAATGCAGAGGCAAAATCGCCAAATTCATTTTGCTGCTGCTCAGCAGCTCTTGGATTAAAGTCATCCAAATCATCATTGATAGCAGCGCTATTAAGAGTCTTTTCACTTTTAGGCGAGCAGGTCTTAAATAGACTGTCGAGCGCGTTGTTGTTATTAACGTTGGTGGTTGTTGAATTTGTAGTATTGCTTTCGTGTGACGATGATATGCCCATGGTATTATTGTTAATGGGGGAATAGCCTATTAAATCATTATTGCCTTCACCAGGTGTATCGCGATGGGTGGGTGAATGTATGCCGGCCGCATTCGATGGTACAGTCGATGTTTTGCCAAAATTAGCAGCAGCACCCATATCGATTTTTTTACTACCGACCGATGGTTTGTGTTGGCTTGGTTGCTTTGTAACTGGACCCGTTGACATGGTTATCGATGATGTTGACGATGCTGATTTAGGACGTATGTTCATGTTTATATTGCCCGATGGCTTGACCTCGGTCGCAATGTCTGCAGGACTGGCTCGGTCATTGTAACGATAGTTTCTTCTGTAATTTCGATGATTTGTATAAAAATTTATATATTATTATTTGAGTTTTTTTATAATTTACCTAGGACTCGGTGAATCACTATCTGAGAATTCCTTTTCACCCTCATATTGAGCATCATCGTCTTCATAACGATCCGCGGAACGTGAATCGGAATCTGTTTAATAGTTAAAATAATTATTGTAAATTTACAAAGAATTTTAATTTTCAATTTGAAAATTAACTTACACCAATTATCACCATGATCACTACGTGAAGTTCTCCAGCCACCATCATTGTAGCCACCACCGCCACCACTATAGCCGCCACCGCTGCTGCGCATACCCATGGCATCACTGCTCATGCCAATATATTTATCTTTATTTTTCTTAGCCTTTTTACGTTCCTCACGTAAACGATCGTCATCTTGTATAAAGTCTATAAGTTCTCTTACCTTTAAGAAAAAATTTAGTTTTTCTTAAAAACACTAAACAATTGTTTTATTAAAATACAAATCTAATTACCTTATGTCTAACATTAATGCCCTGATCTTTGCCGCCTTCATCTGTAAAAGTGTAATTTTCCAATGAACGCAAATCGTAAATATGTTCCCTTGATGAGGTGACCACTCGTTCAGAACCATTGCGTACCAAATAATTTAGCAATAGTAAACTCTAAAAGAAAAAAAGTTATGTTTATTTTTTATTTGCCTTAAAAGATTTTGTAAAATTACCTTATACGTTCTACGCCAATTAGTTTTGTTGTCTGTTAGCATACGTTTCCATAACATTGACATTACTTCGGGAAATGTTTCATAGGAAAACGTTGCATGAGCCAATTCTTGCATTAAAGGCCCCGTTGGACCCCACGGGTCATCGTTAGTGGCTTCTCTTACTTTGCCCTCGATTTCGGTATAATTCATAACTACATTTGTGCTATAATGATAATAGATTATATAAATAATTTTTGTTCAAAAATATATTACGAGTAAGATATTATGGTGATTGGAATTAATTTTGCAATTTCTTCACCATAATTATGTATGCATTTACAAAAAATTGTTTAGCTCATTATATTTTTAAAAGATACGAATAAAGTTGATGACAATGGCATATTATGTTCGATATTTAAAGCTGTTTAAATAATCTCTAAATCATAAGGTCTTGTTATTAAAATAAACTTATGTGTTCTAGTTTATCTTTTATAAGAGAACATTGATTATTAGTCCTGGGGTTTATTTTATAAATACAATAACAAAATTGCTTTTATTGAAAGGGTAAATAAATATTTCACACGATCGAAGTCCATTGAAATGAAAATATCTCTTAAAATTGTGATAAAATCAAAATGTTGCTACATAACTTTGAACAATTATATCTCAATAATATTAACATTAAAGATGATAATATTTCTTACTCAAACCCATTGACTTACTTTCATTTTATAAAAGTACATACAAATATATTTTAGTTTTTTAAAAGAATACGTGTTCATAACGTTATATTCTTCTACTATATATTTACCAACAAATAACTTCCTACACAATGTTTGTTTACTATGTATACTATGTATGTAAATATATAAATTTCACTGTGCAATACCCATTAAATTAATGTTTCTCACACTTTAAATAAACAACAACAACAAAGCCACAACAACAACTAAAACTAATAGTAACAATATAGTATAATGGCTGTGGTCATAAGTCATAACTGCTTAAGTTTACTTAAGAACGAACTGAGTTAAGTCTTCTACCATATTATTCCACAAAAACTTGGTAATGACTTGTACTTACACAACAAATTACTTTTCAATAACTTCTGCAGTAGTATACATCTATACTGTCTGCAGTATATTTAAGACATAAATTCATATACCTAAGTAGTTATTTGGAATTTTCCAAAACAAAATTACTTTTGAACTCCCTACATGTAGTGACTTATTTCATTACTTATTTGTAAGTGAAAGAGGTAAATTACGTGTTTCCATTGAAATGGTTTTTTTGGAATCTAGGGCTTTCCGAAATTGATAACAACATTCAAACAGTCAGACGGTAAGACAAACCAGGTTTGATAGACTCAGATATCTATAAGGATTCGGAATACATACATATATTTGGAAAAAATTTAGATAAGAACAAAGATGAGAAGAAACACATGTTTTGCAAAAAGGTAAAATTTTGACCCACTGTAACTCAGAGTGTTCTTGTTGAAAAATTATGTCTAAGCTACTATTAAATAGGACTAACATTCATGCAAATATCATCCCGATTGGAAGGCATCGGTTTCAAAAGTGGGTTCACTTGTCATAAACTTTATACAGTCGGAAAATTGTATTGGAATTACAAAATGAAAGACAAACTTATGTCAAAATTCCCACAAGTAAGGAAGAAGGTGTAGAAAAGTCACTGCAAATAACATATCCAAGTACTTAAAAGTTTTTGGGCGAAAAAACTATGTAATTTACATAAACTCGTCATTGGAAGAATATGGGTTATTTTTGAAATTAGATCAATAACTTATCTTCAATGAAAATATAATTAAAAGTATTTCATGTATGAATATTAAAATTTTATATCCTCAACGTTTTTGTTGAATTGTGAAAAGTAGTTTTTATAGATTTTTAACTCATTACCAATCAATGTACATACATATGTTTTTGTTGGGATACTAACAAAAATCTCTATCCTCACCATGTTTAATACAATTCTTTATTGAAAATATGATTATCGAGTTAAGCTCTTATGGCTTATAAACACAAATAGAGTAGTATATATTAAGTAGTAAAAGTTTATAATAAAATTGTTACTATTTAGAGTAGTATTAGTAATGAGTTTGACGAGTATTTAACAAATTATTCATTTTCAATCGTTGTCTTTAGCCAACAAAAAACCTCATCCCAATTAATATCGTAATAAATAATGAAAAACAAAGAATGAAAGAAATACAAATAAAACACAAACTTGAAACGAAAACACAAAACCCAATAAAACAAGCGGTTTAATAAAATATAAAACAACTCCCTCTACTTCCCGCCTTAATCATTCCAGCATGACGGAAATAAACTACAGTTTATTTCCGTAACTGAATTTTACAGCAAAAATTTCGTTAATTTTTAAAATATTAATTAAACTTCCAGCACAGTTGGTATACTGAAAACTTTAAAGTACGACATGTTATGATGTTTATAAATATTTAATTTATTTTTTTGACATTATTATAAATACAAGAATTATAATTTAAAGTAAAAGTATTTTTTTAGTTTTTTTTTTTAATTTAAATGTCAATATGATGAGTTTTTAATAGTCTAACAACAATTCAAGCGTTTGTATTTGTTTAAAAATAACTTGTTTAGTTAAAATGAATTGAACAAGAAAAAAATATTTATCATTTTTTTTTTAAATGTTTTCTTTTCATCAACTGATAAGTGTTGTTGTATATAGATAATTAGATTTTTTTATATTTTTTATTTAAAAGTATTATTTTCTTATTTACACTTCACTTTTTTATTATTACTGTATTATTCTTATTGTTATATTATATTCGAAAGCATTTAATGATTTATTTATCTTGTTTTAGAGACACGCTACGGTGTTGTAGTGTTTGACATATTATACAATATTTCTGTTTCGTTTAATAATCGTAATATTTGTATTTTGGTTTTTAGTAAAACATATGTACATTTCAATTCATTATATAGATTCTATTAAGTTTATTGTCATGATATAAATAAAATCTTATCTGAACAAGAATTCTAGAAAGAAAAGGTTGTACTTATTTTTTAAATGTAGTTTCCTTCGCATACATATGAATATTATTGTTTAATAGTTATTAATTAAAAACATATACCTTTAAAAAAAGTATTGCATGTTAATCCAATATTATATTGAGCACCCACCAACCCAAAAATCTTTATATATAAATACATGAATCGTTGCATAAAATAAATCTCTACGCCATTTTAAATTAAAATGAGATTTTTCATTTTAAATTTAGAAAAAATCATTTAAAATTGTGAATGTCTTAATTGAAATAGAGATTTTTCTATTAAAGATTAAATTTTCCATTTAAAAATAAAAAAATGTCCTTTGAATTTCAAGAAAGTCCAGTTAAAATTGAGATTTTTCATTTGAAATTAAGAAAATCTAAATTTGAAATGATAATTGTCCCAATCAAGGTACATAACGCCATGTAAACTAAACAGTTCCTCCTGGGATGTCACCGGCGGAGTCATCCACCGAGGCCTGCCAGAAAGGACATTCTATATACGAGAAGAACATAAGTAGTTATGTGCAGGATCCATTAGATTCATTTATGGAAGCATCTATTGCGGAGTTCTGGCACAACTTAGATCGGGATGGAGCAATATGCATAGACAGTACCGTCCCTAACGAATGTCCAACTTGTGGTCAATGTCTACATGATACACATCACCCAACTGCTGAGCGAATCCTACTTTACTCTGTCCCATAGATTTATGAACACAACCAGTAGAAGTAGCACAATTTTTAGGACTGAACATTGATGCTGAACCCCAAACTAAATTGTTGTGTAGTTACAGCTGTAACAATATGAAAATTCTCATTATCATTTGTGCTTTTCTGAAAAATTAAATTTTATTTGGGGTTTCGGAATTTGAAATGAAAAATGCTCATTATCAAAATGCTCAATATCAAACGAAAAATCATACATATTTACATTGATTTTTTTTAATTACTCTTAATAGTAATAAAGTTTATTATACTGTGGGACTTGAACGACTATATCTACTTTTCAAAATTATTTAATAAGAATGTTTCCTATTTTTAGAATAAGATATAACGATGAATGAAAAGGGGCTGTTTTTAAAAGCATTTCCATTTATTTTAATAAAATTGGTATTTATTAATGCATTTTTTATATAAAAAAAATATAAATTGAGAGTGATACAGGGCATTAACACTCTGCCATAATTTCAAGGTAAACCACTACTTAAAACTTATTTGAAAGCAAGAACTAATTTTATTGATTTTTTTGTTTGTTTTACTTTTTGCTATGAGCATTATTTTGTTAAAAAATATACACAATATTTGAGATGATTTCATATTGTTTTTCATTTAAAATTTATTTTAATTTGCTTTAGATCTGAAAGTAATTTATTTTCTATATAGCATACTTTTTTAATGAGAAAAAACATTTCGCTATAATTAAAGTAAATAATTTTCTTAATTTGTCGAACAGTGTAATCAATGCCAAACTATTTATTGGCAATTATTAGGAAATTTTCTACTAAACATCTATTTTCTATGAAATTTATGGATAAATTCCTTAAATGGCGTAATATAAGAAACAGGTGGTTAGAAAGCTATTCCGTGTACAAGTGTGCAAACACTTGCTGTCGTGTTGGATGGTCAATAGTATAAGCAATTGGATATTTGCACGCGTCAAATATTAGAGAAAAGTAAAAATCTAATTGAAATACAGATACAAGATAGGTATACATATACATACATATATATGTAGTATGTACATATGTACATAAAATATACAAGGTGGGAAAACAAAAACCAGTAATTAACTATTTTCTCATCAGTGGTTGTTGAGTTAAATATTTAGTTTTTGGTTTGTTTGTCGTCTGATGATGTTGTTGGACAGTACTATAACAACAACTACTACTAGATGCAGTGCAAGGCTAAAAACAAATTAACAACAACAATAACAACTAGAGATACCCAGTGCAAGTGTACTAAACATAAAATAACATAAAAATATAAAAAAGCATGAATGTACAAGAAAAAAAATAATAAGACAAGTAAAAGAGTTACTAAAGTTGGTTATGGCCGGCTATATGATACGTTACATTAATAATAATCAATTTTAATAGTTATTTTCTATGAGAAAAGTTTAATTGATAAAAAGTGATACTTGTGTAAGAGTTATGACTAATATATTGTACGAATAATGAAAGTTAAACTGATTTCTGAGATATATAAAAAGTATTAATGTTAAATGTACTTTTTTTGCAAGATTGTCTACACATAATAATGGATTAAATTCAATCAACAGATCTTGTTGAAGATCGCATATCAAATCTGTTAGATCTATGTAGTCCTTTTACACAAAACGCATAACACCCACTATACTGACGTAGGGTATAAAAATATCTACAAAGATACATTAGAAAAGAGCTTTATTTTTCATTATTTCTTTTTAAAATAGTACTTGTCTCGCGAGACTTCCATGTACTAGGTATGTATTTTATGGTACTTAGTTTGGTAGGGGTGTGTATCGTTTAAGTTCTTGTCTCTGTTGTCTGCAGTTGTTGCTATTGTTGTGTCGTTCGTTACCTTGACCAAATTTATGACACATATTTGTTAATTTGATTTACTAGCCACACATATTATGGATGCCGTTTAATGAGTAGTGGGAAACTCCCCTTCTAAAACCCTTTGTAAAGAAATTTTTCCAAAAATATATTGTTTAGTAGTGTTTTTTTTTTGTTCACTTACACTTTGTCAGCCAATTCACGCACTTTCCACATATTTATAAATTTATCTACCATTTTTTCACCTATTTTGAAACTGTTTTCAACTGTGTTACGGAATTTATTTCTTGTTTTGTTATTTCACTTATCGTTCACTTCGTTTTATTTCACACACAATCGAATATATGACACAAGTTTTGGAACTGATAGGAAAAAATTGCAAGACTTTTTTATTTTAATTTCGGTAGTTTTGGTTCACTGCACACGTTTTAGGTTTTACTCGTTGTTAATTGCTTTAAATTGATTTGTATTTAATACTTGTTTTCTATATTTAGGTTGCAACAAAAACGTAATCTTAAAAAATTAAATGAAATTTACAAAAAATGCAAAACTATTTGTAGAATAAAAATGATTGACGAAAAATTGCTGTCGTCAAAAAATTTTTTACAAGTGAAGTTGGCAGTAGAACCCTTCGCCGACAAATATTAACGTCGGCAGCTGTCACTAAAATGTCGGCGGCGGCTTAAAATCGACCGGCTAAGTTTTCAACTAAATTTTCAACGATTTTAATTAAAAACGGAATCCGAGAGATTAAAAAGTGGGATTTCAGAGGTAAATATTTTAAAAATTAGGATTGTCGACTAGAGTAGGAAATTTTTGTATTCGTGAATACTATTTTTGTATTTCTCTCGTTATGCAATTCATTTTCACGAGATTTATTTTTAAACTCACGAGAACTCTTAATTTTTATACCGTTCACCTTCATGCGTATGGTATATATAAGTTTGTCATTCCGTTTGTAATTTTTATAATATAATTTATTATTAATTCTGGATCCTTATAAATAGCGGAGTCGATTAAGCCATGTCCGTCCGTCTGTTGAAATCAATTTTCTGAAGAACCCAGATATCTTCGGCATCCAAATTTTCAAAATCGGTTCGTAAATAACGGATATATGAGCAAAAAAACGAGACTACCTCTGAAAATTCCGCAAATAAATTAGAATCAGTGTGCATGCGGCGCGGGTCTCTGGTTGGCAGGCACTTGGTTGTAGTTTAAATATAGTTAATAAAATTGAATGGTTGTAAAAAAGGGTAGAACAGAGTTGTAGTCCAATTGGATTTTTATGTCGGATTTTTGGTAATAGTGATTTCTTACCGGAAGCGTTAATATTTAAACAAAATTAACAAAATTGCTTGTACGTAATACATATGTAGTTTTTGTGCACCGTGTGTTCACTTTTAACGAATGATATAATGTCAAATGAATTCATTAAATCCCCAAATATTTTAAACTACTTTCAAGGTATAAAAAAGTTATTAATGTAAATTATGTTTTTATTTATTTGTGAAGTCTTCTTTCAGTTTATATGGGGAATAAAAAATTTGCATGATGTAATAAGAAAGATGAGAGCGTTTGGACAACAACTACAATATTTTTGTTGTTTAGAGTATGGGTTTTGTAAAATTAAAGTTTCTAAAATTGAAAAATAATAATAATAAGGGTTTTCATATAAACGTTCAAAAGCCTCGCAAACTGTGCAATCTGTGCATTTTCGACTTTACATTGAATTTGTCACAAATTGTATGGGATTTTACTTCCACAACACTGATGCGTTTGATTGCCTATTTGAACTGATAATTTTAAACCAAATTTTCACTTCTAAATAATACAGATAGCCATTTGTGCAAATGTGCAAGATTGCACACGTGTTTCATGAATCCTAGATACCTATAAAACCGTCGTTACATTTAAATTGTATTCGCAGCAGGACAACGTCTTGTTACTGCTTCATCTGAATTTCTTCATTTGATAAGTTTATTTTATAATAATTTTATTATTATATTTTCTTATAATGTTGTAACTCAAAATAAGCGGAAATACCATTTCGAAACTATTGCCAGCTTTGTTTTAAATAATATATGACACATATTATCAATTAAATTTCATAAAACATTTCTTTCCAATAAAATAAAATTGTAATGAAATGCTATAAATATTCAAAAATAATTTTTCTAACTGACACTTGCAAGCAACACTGTTCTAATAGCACCGTATTATCGACTTTATAAAAACATGTCAATCTGACAGCCGACCAGTTGTCTGCCGTCATTTTTAACAACCCCGTGTGGAGAATTTTTATTATTAAATTTTGAGGAAAAAGTAAAGTTTTTATCAAGTTTTTCAATTAAATCTCTAACAAAAAAGAAATAAATGAAGTTCAAGTCTAACAATCTATGACGAAGAATAAATTTATTAATAAAATACTTCAAAAATCTCTTAGATATTAAGTGAAAATTATTACCAAAACAAAAAGGTTATGTAAACTTTTCTCCCTATTCCAGCGGCGATAATTCGGATTTGTTAAAGTTAAAAGACAGATAAAGATGTTGGGTTTAAGATTTTACGCAAATACGGCCACACAGGTGTTCAGAAGAGCCGCATTTGGCACTAGCCATGTTATGAGAGCATCCTCATCAAATGCAGCTGCGGTAGAAGCGGCGGCAGCAAGCACTTCAAATTCTGCCCAAAGTGCATCGGGAAATGCCGGCAAGGAGACCAAAGATGTAAGCAGCCAGAACGTAGTAGATAACGCAAAGAAACAGAAACGTGGGTTTAAATTAGAGTAATTGTTCAGCAAATATTTATAACTTTAAAACTTTTACAGATTCTTTGGTAGCTGCTGCCTTTGAAAATCTAAAAGATGAGTCGGCGTCTGGTACGTCTAATAAAACAGCAGCAACTGGTAATGGCAACATCGATGAACGCATTACTAATGCTAAGACAATAAACGGTCTTTTGTCTGTCGCCGAAGGCAATACTCCTTTAACCCGCAAGCATGCTCTTAGAATTGTCTCAATTTTGGCTGAATGGAGCACAATAGAACGCGTAAAATTAAATGAGTTTGAAAATGATTCACGTTTTTTGAAAGTCTGCCGCATGCTAGGACGTACTGTTAAAAATGGCAATGGTAACGGCAACGGTAATGGTCCAAAACGTATTTCTGGCTTTAGAACCGATGATCTCAATACTGTATTAGGTGTTGCTGGTGATGATGAGGCAGCAAAATTAATTGCTAGCATTAGTTTGCCACAAATGGTAAAAGTAATGAGTACTCTGGCTGCTCGTAAACGCCGTAGTACCCCTTTGTTGCGCTCCTTGGCTTTTAATATTAGCAGTGCTTCTGAACCGTTGGATTTAAAACAGTGTGCTGATATCTTCTTTGCCATGGCCACCTTAAACTTCCAAGATTCTGTTTTGGCTGCCAAAGTATGTGCTGATATACAAGTAGCTCTACCTAAAAATACAGATAAATCAGCAGTAGTTGGTTCAATACTTACAAGTTTGGGTATTTTAAAATATAGAGATTTGGGTGAGTTGTGACTGCTAATAACATGTTGCTTGTGTTTATTTACTCACTTTTATGATTTCAGACATTTTGGAATCACTTACTCAATGGACTTTAAAACACAGTGATATCTGCCGCCCCCAAGACCTCAGTGCTCTCTTCTTAACATCTGCCATTTTAAATTTTAAAAGCGCCAATATTGATGATGTTCGCCAAAAACTTGTCAAGACAATTGTTCAACAAGATTTTACCAAACATGTTGATTGGCTTAATCATGTTTGGGCTCTAACCATGTTGGGTCTGTGTGATAATAAACACTTGGAAAGTGTTCTAACCCAAACATTTGTAGAGAAACTACAATCTGATAAGAATGGTCTAACGGCTACCTCAAAAATGAAGTTATTAAACTTAAACAGTTATGCCCAACTAATGGCAACAGACTATAAGGGACCTATAATTGCCAGCGATAGTGTAGTATATGATGTGCCTATGGCACATCCGAAATCGAAACAAGTTCTAGTTAATGGTTTAAAGGACGCATTAAAGAGTCTTTTGCCGGCTAACAATCATGTCAACAGTCTGGTTGATAGTAAAATGGGATTCTTGATTGGTAAGTCTTTGTTTGTTTAATTTTCTTTTTTTGTGTTTCGGTTTATCGCATGCTTTATAATTTTATTATTTTCGTAATCATTTTTAATAGTTAATTGTAAATAAGTACATAAATATAAGTTTCAATATAAAAATTAATGCTTATTTGCTTTTAGTTTATACAAGAACGTTTAATTACCAAAAGATCACAAGATCGTTTATTTCATAAAAATGGTTAATTTGTAAATTAAAAGTGAATTTTAGGAAACATTTAGTAAAAAATATATACAGAGAGGCTCACAAAGTTATAGTTTAAGTATAATGTATCGGTACATATGAAATTTTAAACTATATTTGAGTTGAAGAAACATTGAACGAACTTTCATAGAAATTAGAAGAATTTTCGATTTGATTTCTTTAATCTTTATTTAAAATTAGTTTAGTTAGTTTAGAAATAAAAAATAATTGATTTTATGTAATACAAAAGTAAAGGTAATATAAAAATATGTTTTTTTTCAAATTCTTTGTTTTTAAAATATGATGTTTTAAAAAAAATTTCGAATAGATGTGGTGGCGAAAATATTTGTTTGAATAATAACTAATCATGGAATAAAGAGGTTTTAAGGAAATTGTTTGGTTTATAACATTTTAAATATCTCTTACATTTTATTCATTGCATAAAACTTATTCTATACAATCATTTTTATTAAAACATTTGTCCTATACCTATATAAATTAAATATTGCTCATCAAATGTTTCCTTGTTGTAACTAACTCATCTTTATTTGTTTGTCTCTAAAATTGCTTCATTTTAGTTTTTAATCATTTCCTAAATATCTTTAAAATTGTTTACTTCATTTGCGCTTTCATTTGTTATAAATTGTTACATGTTATGTGTTCATATTTTCATTTTGAAGTGTTTGTTTAATAATTAAAAAGAAAATAAATTTAATTAAAAGAACAACAACAAAAATAAAAAAATACTTACAGATGCCAATTGTGTTTTTGATGCTAAACGTAATCCTTTGCCCCTAGATAAAGAACATGCCAATGGAATTAAGTAAGTAATTAGGACCAACAAAACAAGTAACAAGAATAAAAAATAGATCATCTACATATTTCTAAAATATTTAATCAAATTCCAATTGATCTCAAAAAAAATTTTACTCCTAAATATCTGATTGTAGACATTTTTTATTCAAGTTACACCTATAAGGTTCTAAATAATATCATATCTATATTTATTTAAATATTCATTTCAATTTTTACAATTTCAAAGAATTGCTTTAATGGTGGTCGATTATCATGACATTTGCCATGGCACCCATAGATCAGCTAGTGGCATAACATCGCTAAGTTTCGATTTGCTAGAGAAGAGTGGTTACAAAGTGATACCCGTGCCGTACAATGAATTCAACACGAGTGATAAGTTATTAAAAAGAGTGCAGTATTTGGAAAGTAAATTTAAAGCGCTCATTAGTACTAATACAAAATGAAAATAAAACCAAACAAAAAATACAATATACATTTTAGTTTAAAATTTTAAATAATTGGTAAAGATAATACAAAAAAAAAGAAGCTGTTGTTAACTTAAAGTCATAAGTATCACCCTCTCCAAACGAACTAATTAACTACTACCATAATTTAACTAAAAAATTTAGTTTAAATTTGTATTTTTAATTAATTTAATGCTAAATGTATTTGTATGCTTTTTTTTGGCGTCAAAAATAAGAAGAATATTTTTTTTATAAAGAAAAGCATGCAAATAATTTTTTTGTTTTTATTAAATAAATTTAATTTTATTTTTGAAAATATTAAAAGTTGTTTTTTTATAATTTTCAACCAAAGAATTTTACCCATTTTTTTGTTACGCTCATTAGACTCTTTGTTGATTTTTAGCTTTTACAGCTTCCTTGTTTGAGCTTAAATGTTCTAAGCGTACTAGACGTTGTTTATTCAAACCCGTGTTCCACCATTTACCAGTTTCTGTAAATTCTACTGAAACTGCGGCCAAATTGTGAAAAGCATTTTTGGCCAACATATGACGATTTCCCACTTCTAAACGTATTTTAAGATCGTATACCTTTTCTAAATCATCTACTCTATTGTGATTAATAGTTTCGGTTTCGGTTAAACAAATACAATTCCAGGGAGACCATTCCTCATTTTTGTTCCAGCGTGGCAATCTATTGGTTTGTAATAAAAAATTAAATTGAAATAATTTAAATTTCAAAAAAAATCATTACCTTAGCTTTGTTAAATTTTCACATTTACTCAAAATAGAATGACCATGCCATATTTGTTCCACTATATGGCGCACATCATCCACTTGCATTATAAATGCAAATGAACCATTGCATTTCTTTTTACGTTCTTCGCGTTGTATACTACGTAAAATTGCAGTATAAACAAGATTTTCAGTACAGGCCTCCTAGGAAAGTAATGGTTTTTTAATTTTAACACTAGAAAAGATTTTTATCATTTCATTTTTACCTTGAGATAGTAACATTTCTTACAAGTATCCACTTGATATTGTCTGGTGCGTATGGCAAATTGTGAATAAGGTTTTACTTGTTTACAAACCATACACATTCGATTTCCTTGTTCTTGAAAATATAAAAAATTAAAAAACGTTGCTTTATTTTAATCAACAAAAAGTCCACGTTATAATCAATAAAGCTAATGTTTTTGCCCCTAGATTCCTTGAAAAATTTAATTTTATGTTTTCATTCAAAAAACATGTGATTTGATTTTCGGCAGAAAATAAAAGGGTCACAGATTTTTTAACTCTTTGGCTCTAGGCCCTCTAATTTTCCTTCGAAGTTTGATAGGGAAATAATAGTGATCACAAATTTTCATTATTTTATCTTTTGGGTCTATAGTCGAGTCTATAGTCTACTCTATAGTCTAGTCTATAGTCTAGTCTATAGTCTAGTCTATATAGTCTAGTCTATATAGTCTAGTCTATAGTCTAGTCTATATAGTCTAGTTTATAGTTTAGTGTATATAGTCTAGTCTAAAGTCCAGTCTATATAGTCTAGTCTATAGTCTAGTCTATAGTCTAGTCTATAGTCTAGTCTATAGTCTAGTCTATATAGTCTAGTTTATAGTCTAGTGTATATAGTCTAGTCTAAAGTCCAGTCTATATAGTCTAGTCTATAGTCTAGTCTATAGTCTAGTCTATAGTCTCTATAGTCTAGTCTATAGTCTAGTCTATAGTCTAGTCTATAGTCTAGTCTATAGTCTAGTCTATAGTCTAGTCTATAGTCTAGTCTATAGTCTAGTCTATAGTCTAGTCTATAGTCTAGTCTATAGTCTAGTCTATAGTCTAGTCTATAGTCTAGTCTATAGTCTAGTCTATAGTCTAGTCTATAGTCTAGTCTATAGTCTAGTCTATAGTCTAGTCTATAGTCTAGTCTATAGTCTAGTCTATAGTCTAGTCTATAGTCTAGTCTATAGTCTAGTCTATAGTCTAGTCTATAGTCTAGTCTATAGTCTAGTCTATAGTCTAGTCTATAGTCTAGTCTATAGTCTAGTCTATAGTCTAGTCTATAGTCTAGTCTATAGTCTAGTCTATAGTCTAGTCTATAGTCTAGTCTATAGTCTAGTCTATAGTCTAGTCTATAGTCTAGTCTATAGTCTAGTCTATAGTCTAGTCTATAGTCTAGTCTATAGTCTAGTCTATAGTCTAGTCTATAGTCTATAGTCTAGTCTATAGTCTAGTCTATAGTCTAGTCTATAGTCTAGTCTATAGTCTAGTCTATAGTCTAGTCTATAGTCTAGTCTATAGTCTAGTCTATAGTCTAGTCTATAGTCTAGTCTATAGTCTAGTCTATAGTCTAGTCTATAGTCTAGTCTATAGTCTAGTCTACAGTCTAGTCTATAGTCTAGTCTATAGTCTAGTCTATAGACTAGTTTATAGTCTAGTTTATAGTCTAGTCTATAGTCTAGTCTATATAGTCTAGTCTATATAGTCTAGTCTATAGACTAGTCTATAGTCTAGTTTATAGTCTAGTCTATAGACTTGTCTATAGTCTAGTTTATAGTCTAGTCTATAGACTTGTCTATAGTGTAGTCCATAGTCTAGTCTATAGACTAGTCTATAGCTTAGTCTAGTCTATAGACTCGTTTATAGTCTACTATATAGTCTAATCTATAGTCTACTCTACAGTCTAGATTACAGTCTATGCTATAGTTTTGTATAGTCTATAGTTTAGTATATAGTCTATTCTATAGTTTAGTCTATTATCTAGTCTATAGTTTAGTTATAGTCTATTCTATAGTTTAGTCTATTATCTAGTTTATAGTTTAGTCTAGACTGTAGTAGGGATGCCAATCCCGAAATCCCGATCCCGAAAATCCCGGGATTTTTCGGGATTGGCAAATCCCGAATCCCGGGATTTGGAAAATAAATCCCGGGATTTTTTCGGGATTAGGATTTGTTTCAAAAAACTGTTTTTATTTTCTTTTTTTGAGCCATAATTTTCATTAATTTGAAAATTACGATCTTATTTTATTTTTGACTCATGCAAAACAAAATTCCGCAGAGCTAATTTTATACATATTTGAACCTTTTATTTTTTAAAGTGGTATGAGTCCATACACATAGCACATATAAATTTATTTATTCACTTCGTTTTTATACCTTACACCACTTTAGTGGGGAGGGTATATTGGGTTTGTGCTGATGTTTGTTACACACAATAATATTGGTCCTATACCTTAAAGTATACCAATCGGCTCAGAATCATTTTCTGAGTCGATTTAGCTATGTCCGTCCGTCTGTCCGTCCGTCCGTGTAAACCTTGTAATCAAACTACAGCAAATTTGAAGATAATTCAATGAAATTTTGCATGATCTTCTATTGTACTAGAGACGGATCCTATTGAAAATGGATAACATCGGTCCAATATTTGACCTAGCCCCCACACAACTGAACCCCCCAAATAGGGTTTTTAAGTTCATAATTATGTTCAATATACTCGTAACTCGACAAAAAGCTGCAAAACCAAGTTCTATACTAGCCTTCATGACCCTGATGTATTTTTTGATGATGCGGCCTCATTTGACCCTAGCCCCTATGCAAAGCCCCCTTCGAAATATGACTTAAATGTACACAATTTTATTCAACAAAAAATAGCTAAATTATATCTGAGGCAAGGTACAATTCAACTTAGATGCTTTATTATGAACAATAAATCACATTTTATTTTTATAACTGGTGTAGGGTATTATATGGTAGGCTTCGCCCAACTATAACTTTTTACTTGTTAGCACATTGCAATGTTGGTCGTAGACCGACCCAAAAAGTATACACATTCTGTGTCTGTAAGCTGAAAACACGAGTTAGAAGACTCATTCTATTTGGGCTGCAAATTTGGACCAAAATTGACACAAAAAAACCTAATTAGACCTCCTCTGAAAATCACATTGATGCTGATATTAATATCAATACATTACAATATTTTGATGGTGGGTATTTAATTTCGGCGCAGTCGAATACAAACTTTATTTTTCAATACTAGAGGATTTTACATTTCTAACTTTCTACAAATCTGAATGATACCGGTTAAGGTAAATTACCTTGTTCTGAATGCACCTAAAATTTTAAATTAATACTACGAATATAATAATATGTTCCAAAACTAATATGTATTTTGAGTAAAATTCCAAATATTTTTCAAAGAATAGGTTCTAAATTGATGTTCGAATAATTGAATTGGTATCTGTTATAATTATTAGTTCACATGGAACAGTATGAGGTTTTAAAAAGTGCTTATGTCTAATTTCGGAACTTGATATTTATTTTTATTTAGGAAGTAGTTAATTAGTTAGTTAGTTTGAAAGGAGGATGTATATACATCAAATCCGAAGAAATACACCTAGGCCTCTATCGGGCCTGTTGTGCGCTCCTTAACCAGTGCATCAGGTGGGAATCGAACCCACCACCTCCGGTCTACCAGACTAGAACACTAACCACTAACCTACCGGAGGCCACATTTAGGAAGTAAGTATGTATTTAAAAAGTTTCAGAAAATATGCAATTCTGAAAGTTTTTATTTAAAAATTGGAATTAGTTGGATTGTTTTAATTTAAATATATCTTCTGTCTGTTAAATTTCCACAAAATTAAACAATTTTCTTTACAAATATGATGATTTAAAGATTTTCATATATAAAATAATTAAATTCATGTAATCCCGAAATCCCGTAAAATCCCGAAATACCGAAAAATCCCGGGATCCCGAAAAATCCCGGGATCCCGAAATATCCCGGGATTGCAATTTTCAAAATCCCGAATCCCGGGATTTGTAAAAGCCAGTCCCGTTTGGCATCCCTAGACTGTAGTCTATAGGTTAGTCTATTATCTAGTCTATCGTCCAGCCTATAGTCCAGCCTATAGTCTAGTTTATAGTTGAATTTATAATCTAGTCTATAGTTTAGATTAGAATAATATTGATTTATGTACAATAGAGTGGGTCGAAAAAAAAAGTTGAGTCAGTCACCCCCTACGATTAAAGATATGTTAATAACATTTCCGAAAATATAAAAAATATTTTTTTGCCACGCCTAGAAATA